AGAGCATAAGTGGAGGAGGGGCAGAGAGAGAGGGAGACACAAAATCTGAAGCAGGCTCCAGGCTCTGAGCTGTCAGCACAGAGCCAGACACAGGGCCCAAATCCATGGACAGCGAGATCATGACCTGAGCCAAAGTCAGACCCTCAACCGACTGAGCCACCCAGGCACCCCTAACTCATATATTTTTTTAAACCTAGAAGACCTAAGGCACAAGAACTAAGACTGAATAATGCTTCTTTGTACAAAACTTTTTTGAAACTCCAGAAATCTGGCACAAAAACAGACACATAGACCAATGGAATAGAATAGAAACCCCAGAACTAAACCCATAAACGTATGGCCAACTAACCTTTGACAAAGCAGGAAAGAACATCCAATGGAAAAAAGACAGTCTCTTTAACAAATGGTGCTGGGAGAACTGGAAAGCAACATGCAGAAGGTTGAAACTAGACCACTTTCTCACACCATTCACAAAAATAAACTCAAAATGGATAAAGGACCTGAATGTGAGACAGGAAACCATCAAAACCCTAGAGGAGACCTCTCTGACCTCAGCCGTAGCAATCTCTTTCTCGACACATCCCCAAAGGCAAGGGAATTAAAAGCAAAAATGAATTACTGGGACCTTATGAAGATAAAAAGCTTCTGCACAGCAAAGGAAACAACCAACAAAAATAAAAGGCAACCAACGGAATGGGAAAAGATATTTGCAAATGACCTATCGGACAAAGGGCTAGTATCCAAAATCTATAAAGAGCTCACCAAACTCCACATCCAAAAAACAAATAACCCAGTGAAGAAATGGGCAGAAAACATGAATAGACCCTTCTCTAAAGAAGACATCCGGATGGCCAACAGGCACATGAAAAGATGTTCAACGTCGCTCCTTATCAGGGAAATACAAATCAAAACCACACTCAGATATCACCTCACGCCAGTCAGAGTGGCCAAAATGAACAAATCAGGAGACTATAGATGCTGGAGAGGATGTGGAGAAACGGGAACCCTCTTGCCCTGTTGGTGGGAATGCAAATAGGTGCAGCCGCTCTGGAAAACAGTGTGGAGGTTCCTCAGAAAATTAAAAATAGACCTACCCTATGACCCAGCAACAGCACTGCTAGGAATTTACCCAAGGGATACAGGAGTACTGATGCATAGGGGCACTTGTACCCCAATGTTTATAGCAGCACTCTCAACAATAGCCAAATTATGGAAAGAGCCTAAATGTCCATCAACTGATGAATGGATAAAGAAATTGTGGTTTACATACACAATGGAGTACTATGTGGCAATGAGAAAGAATGAAATCTGGCCCTTTGTAGCAACGTGGATGAAACTGGAGAGTGTGATGCTAAGTGAAATAAGCCATACAGAGAAAGACAGATACCATATGTTTTCACTCTTACGTGGATCCTGAGAAACTTAACAGAAACCCATGGGGGAGGGGAAGGGAAAAAAAAAAAAAAAAGCGGTTAGAGTGGGAGACAGCCAAAGCATAAGAGACTTAAAAACTGAGAACAAACTGAGGGTTGATGGGGGCTGGGAGGGAGGGGAGGGTGGGTGATGGGTATTGAGAAGGGCACCTTTTGGGATGAGCACTGGGTATTGTATGGAAACCAATTTGACAATAAATTTCATATATTGAAAAAATAAAAAAAATAAAAAAAAGAAACTCCAGAAATCATTAAGAAGTTTGACTTGCATATATATTTTGAACTTTCAGAATGTTCATCACACTAAAGAGACCTATCGCAGTTTACTGATACTCCAAAAAAGTCTAATATAATTAGAAACTGATTACCTATCCAAAAAGACATAAAGGGACAAGTAACATAACTACTAGGAGTAATAATAATTTTATATTTATATACCAGTTTATAGTTTACAAAATCTGGTGGAAAAGCATGACCTCTGAAGTAGACAAAAAATAGGTTTACTACCCCAAGTAAATTTTAATCTTTCTGAACTTCAAATTCCTTTTCTATAAAATGAAATACTACCACCTAGTAATCAGGGATTCAGTTTAAAAAAGAAGTAGCAATTTCTTGCTGTGAGCTTTTCTTTCTAAAGGTAATTATTTACATTTTCAATAGGTAACATGTTTCAAATTTTTAAAATAGAAATGGGCGTACAGCTGGTTTCAATGGAGAACTCCAATTTACCACCTGAACCCACTAATCAATCACTATCTATCACGCACTACTATCACTAATAGCGGAAAAACTAGAGTATAGAGCATAGCCTATGACATTGTACCCAAAGTGTTTAACCTGAAACCAATCAAGCATTTACCTTACCTTTGTTAGCAGTAACAAGCTAAGTGATATCACTAGGAATCAATCAGTTAAATTCAGATCATTGACAGGGTCTCTTCAACAAGTTATGATGAAAAAGAAAAAAAAAGTTAACTGTTCTAGATTTGAAAAGATTTCAAGAGACATAAAAGCCAAATGCAATGCATAAAATTTTATTGGAAATAGGATCAAAAACAGTAAAAAAGAAGAAATAAGTGGGGGGCAATTTGGGGAAATTTTTTAATTTAATTTTCTAAATCTTTTTTTTTTTTTTGGTAATCTCTACACCCAACGTGGGGGTCGAACTCACAGCCCTGAGATCAAGAGTTGCATGGTCTTCCCACTGAGCCAGCCAGGTGCCCCAAATTTGGGGATATTTTAATAAAGATTAGGTTTTAGATAATATACAAGAATTAGTTGTTTCGTGTGATTATGCTATTGAGTTATGCAGGAAAATGTTCTTTTCATTAGAGACATGTATTAAAGTGTGTAGGGGTGAAATGTCAGGAATAAAAGCAAATAGCAATGTAACAGCAGATTTGAAAAAGAATGATCAATTTACATGGGTTCAATATAGTATTTTCTCTACTTTTCTGGATGTTTAAAAGTTTTCATAAGAAATTCCTAAAAACTTATACAGAAAATAATTCCATTCCCACTCCTGTTTCTCAGCCACTTCAACTTCCAGTCACTGTTGCCAGTTTCTTCTGAATTCTTCCAGAGATATTCTAGGTATATATATACACAAATAACCACAGTTTAAACACACACACACACGGTTGTGAAACCTCTTTTTCACTTTTTTTTTTTCACTTAATGTATCTTGGTTATTACTCAGTATTAGCACACAGAGGGCTGGCTCATTCTTACAAAGGCATACTTTACTTAACCAGTCCTCTACTGATGAACACTTAGGAACTCTAATTTCTTGATAGACTCTTTCAGATTAGAAGAGGAAAAAAACCCAACTGACTATAAGGTTTCAATTGGAGATAGCACATTCAATGTGCTTGTCTGCCTACATGTTATTTACTGGATACACAAATTAATCCTAAACTTCCCACTATGATGTTTGAATCAGGAAATGGATAACATGTATATTTCTCACAGAGCCATTCCTGGCCCCAGAACCAATTCATCTAGCATCTACCATTATTCCTTCCTTTTCTTGTACAGAAGCCTCTTATACAGCAGACTACATGTGCTGTGCTCTAAGCTAGATAAATAATTACTATTTGCAGTTTTTCCTTTTTAGATTCTCTTTTTTAATCAAAGCAACTGATTATGAACTAACTTGACCAGATTCCTTCACACCCTCTTACCACCTTCCAACCCATGCTGAAGTTCTCTTCAAAAACTACCTTGTACCTTTATTTTTCTTTAATTTTTTTAAATGTTTATTTATTTTTGAGAGAGAGACAGACTGTGAGCTGGGGAAGGGGCAGAGACAGGGAGACAGAATCCAAAGCCCTGGGGCTGAGCTGTCAGCACAGAGCCTGATGCGGGGATCGAACTCAGGAGCTGAGACTATGACCTCAGTCGATGTCAGACTCTCAACCAACTGAGACACCCAGGTGCCCCTCTAGTACCTTTAAAAGCACATACCATTCTCTAGACTCAGGAGTTAACTCTAGAAACTGTAACTGTAATGTAGTTGCTTCCCAAAAGTGCTTAGAATATCTAACTTGGTGTAACAGGAAAAAGAGGAGACTTGGCATATGTGAATTTCACCACTTACCCTAGCTAGTTTAGCTTGAGCAAATTACGGTCATCAGAAATATGCTTCAAAAATCCACTTGCCATCACAGTATTCATCAATTTTTTGTGACACACCGGAGTGTACAATGCAGCAGATGCTAAATAAGTCCTAACTGAATCTAAATATTTCATGGATTCATTCACAACCAAACTCGAGAACAGGGCTTAGAACACATTTTAAGATTTCCCATGGCGTTTGGAATACTATTAGGCTTTTAGGAAGTTCTCACAAGTTATTTCGGCTTAGCTAAATTCGACATAAACCATTATGGTAGATAAAGCACCCATTTGCTAGGTAAGAGAAGAACTTCCCTTAACTCGGATGGTCCTAAGTTGCTAAGAGCCAAGGAAATCTCAAACTTCCCAATAAAATGGTTAGGCTGACTCTTAAAGATGATTAAATTGAACAGACTCAAAGCATTTGAGTGCAAAGCATCTCCTCCCCATAATTATGCACCGAGATTCAGACTAAATACTAGCTTGACACGTAGTAAGCGCTCCATAAATCGTAGCTATTATTAAGACGCATCCCAAACGGATAGAAGACGGAAGGAGGAAAAAGAACGGAGGCTGTCAGTCACAAGAGGTCGAAAGGTGTCCCTGGCCTGTGACCCGGAGGCCTTTAAGCACCTGGGTCTGCGGGATCCCTGCGGAACCGGGGGCCGAAGGAGGTCAGCGGCCTCCCCTAAAGGTCAAGGTTCTCGCAGGCACGTTTCCTGCCGGGGCTAGAAGTAGAGTCGGAACGCCCCCGCGAGAATCTGTATCCCGAAGCCAGAAGCACCGCCTGCCCGTAAACCGCGCGGGCTCCGGGAGAAGGGGGTTGCCCCTGTGCCGCAGCCTGCTCGAGCAAAAACCCGGCCACGTCCTGCAGCCCCAAACCTTAGGCGCGGACCACCGGGACCCTCCCGTTCCGAAACGCCTCAACGCAGCCCGACCCTCGATACTCACACTCACAGCCGACCCCTCCTACTCCATCAGGCCGCCAAGATCCCGGCGAGGGGACTCCCTGAGGCCCCCCCACTCAGTTTTGGGTCCGGCGGCCCACTCCGGACCCCCTCCCCGCCGGGCACCGCCGCCGCCGCCGCCAGCGCGCAGGCGCACACCGCCACCGTCACGCTCCCCTTTTTTTTCCCTTTGCTGTCCGCCTTTCTCAATAATCTAGCTTTATTTGAACACATGAGAGTGAACAACGGACACAGGGGAAAGAAGCTTTACGCAAAAAGAAAGATCAAAGGCCGGCAGGCAAGCTTGAGGAAGTTACTCTGCTGCACTGAACTCAGTTGTGACTAGCCTTCCTCGTTCCTTTTTCTTTCTCTTTGTTCTTCCCCGGCCTTCCTTTTGCTTCTACTCTCTTCCTAAATCCCCAGCATTCCCTTTATGCAGTGGCAATTGTTTAAGCTACATTTCCAACCATTCCTGCCTTGGAAAATTTACTGAAATTTAATGGATGTTGCAGGAGCTTGAGGGCAGACAGATATCTGAGTTCAAATTTTGATCTAGCCGCTAGTAACTTATGACTTTGGGCAAATTACAAGTTTTCTTGGAACCTCAGTTTCTTCACAGTTAAAATTAGGATAATGCTATCTCTCAGGGTGTTGCTAGGATTAAAAGACATAATATAGGTCACGTTCCTATCCATGAATGGGTGCCTGTCAGAGTGAACAATACATGAATACCAATGATTATATTTTATTAATATTTAATATATTTCTTTATTAAACTTAGCCCATACACATTCCCTATTTTAGTGACTACAAATAATCAGATAAACCAAGTTACATTAGGATTAATAATGTTGTGAAGTGTTACTCCTCCCATATTATTGAGCTTCTGATAATGTCTATGTTTAACAAGACCTGCAATACCTAAAATCAAAGCAAGCACCTTCATCTATGTGTAAGTCCAGACTTGCTTAGAACCCTTTTTTTTTAATGTTTTTTTTGAGAAAAAGAGAGAGAGAGCACGCACACAAGCAGGGAGAGGGCAGAGAGATAGGGGGACAAAGGATCAGCCAGCTCTGCACTAACAGCAGAGAGCCTGATACGGGGCTTGACCTCACAAACTGTGAGATCATGACCTAAGCGACATCAGACACTCGACTGACTGAGCCACCCAAGCGCCCCCAGATTTGCTTCTAAAGGATTGAGGAACTATTCTAATTGTGTGTTTGTGACATCACAATTCTTCTAAACACTCAAGGTCTGAGGTATGCTGCTCATTCTACTCTCCTTTAAAGGCATGCAATGGAAGGACTACTTTACCCTATAAGCTGAGGGCCATAGTCCAAAGAAAAGCTTGTAGAAGACCAAGGTCAGCCATTGGTGAGCATCAAGGTAATCCTAGATCAGGGTTTCTTAACCTTTGCACTATTGATATTTTGGAGATGATTCTTGGGCTATCCTGTGCATTGCAGGATACTTAGCATTCGGGGAATACTAAATGCCTGTAGTATCCCCTTTATATCCGCCACCCCAATCCCTGTCGTCTTGACAATCAAAAATGTCTCCAGACACTGCCAAATGTCCGCTCAAGGACAAAAATGTTCCTGATTGAGAACCATGGCATTACACCATGGATAAATACACCATAAATAAACTCAACCATAAATTTTGTCCACTTCTGCCTATAAGAAGTGATTGGTGCTTAAGAAAGCCACACACCAAGATAGAAGAGGGAGAGTTCATTTTTACCAATCTTATACAGGCCCTTGACAGTGACACCAGTCCTCCAGTCTTTCTCTGATCAACTTGTTCTGTCACTTTATACAACCATATTCGAAAACTTCTCCACTTTCCTTAAAACCCCCAACTCCTTTTCTATTAGCAAATGACCTCATCTCCTATTTCACAAAGAAAACAGAGGTCATGAGATGAGAACTTCTTTAACTTCCTGTTACTAAACATACACACTTACAGACACATACTTCCTCTTATTATAATTGAGGAGATATCTTTATTTCTCTTCCAACACCATTCCTCCCACCAGTACTTTGGATTGTCTCTACTCTTATTCTCTCAAGATCTTTACCTATTAACACTTCTGTTTATTCAACTATTTTTCCCCTCAGTTGTATGTTGCCTATCATGCTCAAGTTTCTCCTGTCTTAATTCTAACAAAAATCCAAACAACAGAAACAAAAACTTTGACCCCTTGTCTGTCAAGGCCTAACTTTCCAAAAGCATTTTATAACCTCTCCCTACTTTTGCACCTCCCCTCTCTCGAAATTGCTGCAATCTATCTTTCAACTTAATCATTCCACCACATAGCTTTCACTAAGATCACCAATGACCTCTGTGTTACAATATACAAAAGATATTTATCAGGGTTCACTTTCCTGACCCTTAGAAGTAGATTCCTTCTAAGTGCTGTTATTATTTTTTTTAATTATTAATTTCCAGCACTGTGCTCTATTCTTAGAGGTACCCAGAAGAGTTCCTAGACCTGTTTAAAACCCTTCAATGGATTTCTGTAGCCATAGTATAAAGTGCAGGCTCACTTAAGCTTGCACACTAAAGTCCAGTATAAAGTGCAAGACCTACCAAGATCTAGCCCGTTGCCGACTATTTAAAGGTTATTCCCCACTTCACCTGGAGATACACGATGAGCTCTAAGCCTCTCAGCAGAATGAACTACAAGGAATTTACAGAAAGTGCTATGTTCCTAGTGGCAAAGGCTGTTTCCGCAGGCTGGAAAACTATCACCCTCTATCCCAGACTTCTAGGAGAATTCCTACTTAGCCTTCCTGATTGAAAAGTCGCTTTCTCTGGGAACCCTTCCAGACATCCCTAAGGATAAGGTGCAGCTTTCATTGTGCACCGACTCCGCCTCGGACTTCCTGATGCCACTCACTAAATTCTACCCACTATTATTTGTTTACATATCGATCTCCAATCTAGATAGATCAAAAGATCCTGGAGGGCAAGGAAGGCATTCTTGTCTCCTTTTCTTCAGCAATCATCCAGCAGATGGCTTGCCCTCGACAAATGTTTGTTGCATGAATATATCCCACCTTCGGGAGGGATTCGAATTATCCGGTTAACGGGCGACTCCCCAGGCTCTTCGCCTGCGTGGCAGGGAGATTTAAACCCCTCAGAAGGTGATTGGCTCCTGCTCCAGGGGTGTGTCCGCGCCCGCGTGGCCGGGGAAGTGCGCAGGCGCGCGGGCCCGGCGCGCGCAGGCGCTAGGAGGAGGCAGCTCCAAGTCCGGTCTGGGGGTGTCCGAGCCGCTGCGGCGCGAGAGGAGTGGCCGGAACTGGTTGGTGAGCTTCCAGGAGTGGGGTTGAGGGAGCTAGTCGGGTTGAAGATTGGGATCAGGTCCCAAGAAGAAGGAGTATTATTGTGTTTAAAAGTTCGTGGGGTCGGGCTTAAGGGGAGGGGGGGAAGTGCTCTTGCCTCTACTGGGCAGGTCGGGCCCAGAGCAAGGACGCGAGGCGCCAGGAAACTACCGAGGGGCGGCGGAGGAAGGGTGGTGGGGTGGTGGTTCGTTGGTCCCCTCCTCAAAACCAAGCAGAGGTAAACTCCCACTCCCTCTCCTCTACAGTGTTGCTGTGGTCGTGATTAGAAGACTGTACGGTGACCACAAGTGATCAGATAACTCTGAACTAGTTATTTGAAGGTCTCTGAGGTTCGTGGCATTGGAGAGTCCAGGCTCTCTAGGAAAGTCCATTCTTACCTCGTGGCTGTACTGCAGACGCACGAAGGATCCGTAAAACGAATTTCACAGTTCCAGCCTGGAGTTGTTGTGGGTAGGGGGAGAGTACTGGAAAGTACTGCTTCATTTCAACCTTTTTTAAGTCATTAATCACTACTGTATTAGGAAAGGTACATGAGAGTGGAGAAAACCGAAAGACGTCAAAGTTGGGAAAGGAAGATGAGAAGGGAGTGTCGTTTTGCCTTTTGCTAGTCATCTTCAGGGAGTAGGTGGACGACTGGAGAGGGCTGTTTGGATACTGGTAGCTTCTGACAGCGTTCCCTTGGCCATGTGAAAATAATATAGCTTCTTAGTAGCAGATAGTTAAAGAATTGAGAGGAATATTATTCCATGTGCCCTTAAGACTGGCTTTCAGATGTGCAGGTAAAATATGGTCAGGTAGAAATGGTTCTCCCACGTTCTTGCCTAGCCTGGAAAATACCACACTTTAAATGCATGGGACCTTCAATCAGGAAGGCTAAGTAGGAATTAGCTAGAATACTTTGAAATCTAACCTTAAGATATTTCATAGTAAGATTTTTAAAAAATAATGTTTCTTCCATAATCACAGTTGATGCCTAAAGCATCTAATGGTTAATTGTCTTTTGTTCCTTTGGCAAGAGGTAATGAGAAAGAATATATTCATATAGATATTAGAAGAAACACTTCTTTTCACAATTACCATGCTCCTTTGACAGATGATGTGAAAGTGAATGAAATGATCATACAACAGCCTACAGCTCAAATATTTATCAGTGTTAGTAGGCTTTTTATTTTTGTTTTTGGGTTTTTGGGGGGCGGGGTGCTTGTGGTATATGGGTATACACTAGAGAATTGCTGTTATCCTAGTTCCAGGATAGCAGTGGATTATTGTGCCATTATTTTCTTAACACTCTTTCCTGTAGACACTATTCTTAACAGTATAACACTCTTTCCTGTAAATAGTAGTGTTTGCTTAAACATAGTAGCAAGCTCACTTAACTAAAGGTCACACCTTTTCTAATTATTCGGAACACAGCCTTGAACCTAGATGGAAGCAGGTAAACAAAGAAACAGGCCCAAGTTGTTCATGGGACAACTGTCAGTATTTCACCCATCATGAACCATACCAGCATTGTAAAATTTGCCTTTTAGAAGATCATCTGCAATATTTCATGTTTTTAATAGATTTGTTTTCAACATTACACTTTTCCAAAGTGATAATCTGTGAAATCATGGTTTTTATGTATTTTATTCCCTTTTCTAGTATACGTTATAATATACATGTAACTTAAATACGTAACTATTGCTAGGGGCATCTGGGTGGCTTAGTCGGTTATGCATCTGACTCGATTCTGGCTCAGGTCATGATCTCACAGTTCATGAGTTTGAGCCCCACATTGGGCTCT